CCAAGCCCGCTCGAACCCATTAGTATGGATAAAAAAATGATCGAATTTTTTTTAAATGTTTTGTTTTGGTTATAATTAAATAAAAAATATATTTTCAGTAGTGCGAAACCTCTAATTTTCCTAGGGATTCAGGCGAAATATTTATTTTTGTTTTCATACAAATACTAATAATATAAACACAATTTTTGTATGCAGATTCATTTAAATTTAAACATTTTGTACAAAGAAAATACTGTAAATAAGTAAGTAGTAGTAGAGTTGTGTATTCAGATTTACTATCAGTCATATTTAAGCAGTTTTACTGAAATAAAAACAAAATAGATTACAGTAAAGAAAAATCTGATTTATAATTCAATATGATATTTTAGATGAGTTGTAATGAAATTTAGTAAAATAAAAAATATACACATTACTATAATCTATCAATTATTATATGCAAAATTTACTTACCAAATAATATAATAATATAAAAATAAGGCACAACTTAGTTCAGACTTTGCACCAACAAAACAGAAGGCTTGTATAAAAACAAAAGTTCGATAATAATATCGGTTATCAATGGTCATGATTGCAAATTGCAAGTTATAAGAAAATAAATATATTTTAAAGTAACTCAATATTGACTGAGTCATCTATTTGACAATAGAAAAATAATTTAGATATATGCTTACATATGTCTCTTTATACAAATATCCACTTGGCAAGGCTTTAAAAAAATTTGATGGGTAAAATTTAACCGGCGCCCGTATCCCAGACGAGCGCGTAAAAAGTTACCAGTGAGGCGCGTGTGTGTCTTAGACTTATGTGTACTTGTGGTCTTTAGTTACTGTTTTTTTTTTATACTACATATTATTTTTTTTGTTAAACTAAAAGTTTTTTTTTGCCATTGTATATCTGGTTTTGTACTTTTTTCCAAATGCGCTGTGCAGTTGCTTGTTGCAATAGTGACAATGAAGATACAATCTTTAGGTTTCATACATTTCCCATAGATAGTGTGACCAGAAAACTGTGGATAGTATCTTGTTGTAGACAGGATAATTTTAATTGTAATACTGCAAGAATTTGTTTTAAACATTTTAAAACTGAAGATTACCAAAGAAATCTACAACAGAAAATTTTAAATTACGTTTCCAAAAAGGGTCTAAATCGCAAACCTGAGGCAGTATCTAGTGTTTATTTGCCTAAATACAGAGAGTCCAAAAGTATGTTGAGCAGCTTCCTATAAATTCTAAGTCAACGACGTAAGTCTAAATTTTTATTTTTATTAATTATTAGTCATGAAAAATAAAAAATATCAATGCATAAAACAATCAATGTTTATGCCTAGAAAGGAAAAGCATACTTTTCTTTTCAATAGGTATAATGTTTTACATTATTCTAAAAGAATATTACTTACCTATCTTTCTAAGAAAATAATAAATAAATCATATTCTGGCATAAATTCACTACTTATTTATGATTAAATATTCAAACTATATTAAGATGTTGCGGGAACAAGCGGTCTTGACTACGTCATGTGCGAAAGCGAACCGATTTTGGAACATTATGTATCACACCTTGTGTTCATTGTACTATGCCTTTTTGGGTAAGTACAGTTGTTTAAATAATCACTTTTCAGGATAAACAAATTTAATAACTTACAAACTGTTTGGCCACTCTAGCTGAAATTAAGCACACTTAATTGCCATTAATTAACTTAATAGCTATAATTTCAAGTAGTTACGTTGTATGTCCTTACGCAAAAACGAAGTTATTAATGTTAATATATTACTGCAAAAATAAGGGTTTTTGCAATTATCTCGGTCAATTGTTTATGTATTTTAATTTAGAAACTCGTAGACTAAAGAACTTTTTAATAGTCTACAACTTTTTTTTTATTGAGTTTATTGTGACTCAACTACAAGGTTATTGACACTGGGTCAATTTTGGTACTATAAATTTAAATTGCAATATAATTATAGTTTACAATAAATTAATTTTACATTACATTAAAATAAAGAGAGTAAAGACAAAGTAAAAACAAAAAGAAAACATTAAATTTTGTAATACAAATTCGTTTCTCGAAGGAAATCTAGTACATTCGGAATAAGATCCAATTGGCTGAGGATCACATTTGTAAGACCATGTATAAAGTATTTTTTTGTACTTGCTTGTACTCGACACACTGTGTAAGGATATGTTGAACGGTTAATGATTCACTACACTTTTCACAGACAGATAATTTCTCCGAAGCCATCAGGTGTCCATGTGTCAGCCGTGTGTGACCAATTCTTAGCCTGCGAACGATTACTTTGTCTCTTCTACTTAAGTTAGACAGCTGAAATGTTTCGATGGTAGGTTGTATTTTGTGTAGTTTCGAGGTTGAACTTTTCCATTGATTTGGCCAGGACTTTTTGATTTGTGATCTGAAAAGTAGTTTTAAATCTGATGCTAGTTGAACGGATTTGATGTCTGATTTGGTTGTAATTGCTTTCTTCGCAGCAGTATCAGCAGTTTGATTACCTAAAATCCCGATGTGTGAAGTAATCCAGATTATTGTTACGTCTGTTCCAGAAGAAGTGAGACAGTTTGTTGTTTCATGTATGGCATGAACTAATGGATGTTCAGAATATATTTTTAATCGAGTCGATGGAGGACATCGAATCTGTACATATTGCAGTGTTCTTGGCTTTAGTTTGATTGCATAGACATTGTAATGCTTGCAGGATGGCGTACAGCTCTCCCGTATGGATTAAGGTGGATGGTGGAAGGCAGAACTTCTGAATGATACTATTTGCAGTTGTTATAGAATATCCGACTCCTGTCTCAGTTTTGGATGCATCTGTGTAAAGAATCTCGTCATATGAGTTTGTGTTGACCAGCTCCAGGAAAGTTTGCCTCTTAATTTGGCGGTTAGTTTTATTTTTGTGAAAATTGTTAAGCAAAAGATTAATTTTTGGAATGTTATTATTCCAAGGAGGAGTTGATGATGGAATATGGGTATCTGTAATTGAAAAATCAACAGGTCGTGAAAGGGGAAGTAAAATTTGAGATAATGTCTGATATTTATTGTTGGGTTCACAGTTGTAGGGTTTGTAGATTAGCCATATATATAGGGTTGTTTTGATTCGAAGATACTCTAGCAAAGTATGTCAGAAGTTGTTGTCTGCGGAGCGAAAGGGGAAGTTCACCTGTTTCACAGCGAAGACTTTCGGCAGGGTTGGATCTGAAAGCTCCGAGGCATATTCGTAATGCGGTATTCTGGATAGTATTAAGAGTCCTTAAGTAAGTCTTTGATGCTGACATATATACAAATCACCCATAATCTAGTCGAGAACGAATGAGAGATCTGTATACCTTAATTAGGATGTCTTCATCAACTCCCCAGTGATTGTTTGCTAGAGATTTTAATAAATTTAATCTAGCTAACCAATTAGATTTGACGTTTGTAATCTGTGGTTTCCATGTTAGTCGACTATCAAAAATTAACCCCAGTATTTTGTGTTCATTAGCTACCATGAGCGGAATACCATTTAATGTAATTTGAGGTAAGAATACGCTACGTGTTCTTACTGTACTGAATTTGAGTACTTTTGATTTTTCAGCAAATAAATTAATACCAAAATTTATAGACTAAGAAGTCATTTCATTTACGGCTTTTTGGATTAAGTTTGTAGTTGTTAACGTATCTTTACCGCGGCAATATAGAATCAGGTCGTCAGCATATAAGTTGTATTTTACTGGATTGTAAATATTTACAGTAAAACGTAATAGAGTATCGAAGGCGCTTTCGATATCAAATGATGCTGCTATTAAGTCTTGCTTGTTTTGGAAAGCGGTTGTGATTTCTGTTTGTAACATTACTAAGTTGTCAGCCGTGCTTCGGTATGAACGGAATCCGGATTGAGCTGAATCTAAAATGTTGTGTTTTTCTAAGAACCATAATAGTCTTTTGTTTATTAGTTTTTTTAGCAGCTTACACAGGGTGTATGTTAGTGAAATAGGACGGTAAGAATTTTGATTATTCGGTGACTTATCATGTTTCTTGATTGGTATAACGATAGATTCGCTCCATAGAATTGGAAATTTCTGATTGGTCCATATTATGTTGTACAATATAAGAAGTTTTTTAAGGGCAGATATGGAAAGATTTTTAAGAGATATGAAGGGGATGTTGTCGGGACCTGCAGCTGAAATTTTGCAAGTTGGAAGAATATTTAAGAGTTCCTGTAGTGTAAACGGAGTGTTTAAGAGAGTAGAGTCAAATTTAAAAAATTGGAAAGGTTACTGTACCGGAGGAGTATACAACTTTTATTTTAACATATACCTATAAAAAACATTTTATACGCAAAAGATGATTTTTACTTTTTATGATTGTTAAAAAAAAAACAAAGCAAAATTAGCTAGACGTCTTTAAAGATTTGTGATAAGCACTCGTATACCTTTTAGTAAAATCTTCAAAATCGTGTATCTGACTTTTACGTGAAATTGTTGATTTTTTCACATATAAACTGGGGTACACATAGATCGCCGCGCCGTTTCGAATGCCCTGAAAAATCACGACGTAGTCTAATCTGTCTAGTACTGTGCACACTTAATGCTACACAACAAAGATATTATGCAGAGCAGTTTCCTACGCTCAAATTAAATATATCACATTAAAAAGATATGTGTTGAGTAAAAATCTTGTTATTGAATAAAGACAGCTTCGTTGTTTTAGTCACCTTAAATATTCGGAATACCGCGGTAAAATTGGCATATCTTATTTTGCGCATTTTTGTATTTATTTTAACACATTTAAAAAATAGATTTATGTTTCTTATATTTATTATCATATTGTTTATATTGATATTGTAACTGAAAAGTGTGGTTTTCTACAAATTCCTAAGTTGAAAAACTGCTCCGCAACTGATATATTCCTATGAATGAACTTTTATATTCCTAATTCGCTAGTCTTAATTGTTTAAAAAGTATGTTTAGTGGTTGACGTAGTTCTGACATAATTAAAATATTTGTATTTGAAAACAACTTTTTGTGTTTAAAAATTATTTAAAATCAAGGAAGATGTGAATGTCAGTTCCTTATATCAAAATTATCTGTCGTCGGTCCCCAAATTTCTGCCTCACCACAAAATTTTTGTAATGATTTCAATGTTAAGGAATGTTTGTAAACTCAAAATACCAGTAAGTAGTGTTTCTGTCTTATTTAATTTTGCAAAATTGTCATTTAAATTTGAAATTATTTTTTTATATACAAGTCGTTTTTTACTACAAAAATATCTTCTATTCTTATGTTTTGGTCGGTTTCTACTTCTCTGGAACAGATCACTTTATTTAATATGTTTCGGATTCTCATAATTTGTTTATTTATGCCTTTGACGGTTTTGTAATACGTTTTTATTTTTTGACAAACGTAAACCTTAAATACATTTTTCACTGTTTTATAGAACTTAATTAAACGAAGTTACTAAATTTCGGGGAAAATATATTAAGTGACAGATATCCAAACATTTTCTTGTATTATAAATTATTATATTTTAAAAATAGTTTGTACAATTATACAGGGTAGCAAAATAATTAAACGATGAAAGCTGGTTAAAACAATTAATAGGGGTAAATCGCTTAATAATGTCTTAATGCCTCTCGGTGGGTAACATACTCTTTGATACGCCTGGGATCGCTTTTCATTAGGTGGCCAATATCCTTCTGGGGTATCTTGTTTTATGTTTATTTAACTCTTTTCGAAGTGCTCCCAAAGTATGGGAAGAATGCTCTAAATTAAGAAGTCTCTGATGCACCATGTCACACACGTGTTCAACTGGGGATTAATCTGGGGATCCCGAAGGCCAAGGTAAAATGTTTACTCTAGACTTTTCAAATCAATCTACAACCGCTCTTATAATGTGTGACCTTGCGTTAAAGCGTCTAAAAGTATGGTGTACGATGAAGTTACAAAATTTCTTCTACTAACATATTCTTGTACTGTCATGTTCTCTCTGAAGAAGAATAGAAATGAACTTAAACCGTAAACAATAGTACCTTATACCATAATCCCAACATTGAATTGCATCTTTAAGGTTTAACAAAAAAAATTGAGGATTTCGTCTTTCACCACTTCGCTTCATCCTCTGACTCTGGCTTTCTGGATTTAATATTCTGGAAACCGCCTCATTTCTGACTCGGTCAATCCACGGGATCTTTAGTATTCTCCGATATAGTCACATATTAAATGCTTCCAGTTTTCTGTACATATCTTCGTTCAAGGTCCACGATTCAACACCATAAAAAAGGACAGAGAAGACATAGCATCACAGCATTCTTACTTTTGTATCAAGAGAGAGGTTGTGACTCTTGAAGAAGGCATCCATCCAATTAAAGGTGGATCTAGCTTTTCCGATGCGTGCTCTAATCTCCTGGTTGTTGGTCCATTCTTCATTTATGATGGTGCCGAAGTAGCTTTAGTGCGTCACTATTTCTACAGGGGATTCGTTGACGTAGATTTGACCTTCTGTTATCATTGTCTGGCTAATTATCATAATCTTTGTATTTTTAACGTTGATATTAAGTCCATATTGACATAACAATTTCGTAGAATATCTAGTAGTTTCGTGCAAAGCTTGCCTCACTCCACGCATGATTTTCACATAGTCAGTGTGTTCACCTTCAAAATACAGGTATGACTATATTGTGTTATAATCCATATAATGGTATCAAAAGTAGAACATTTTTGATCACATTTGATTATTAATTAACGACCTAATGATTTCGTTCAATTTTAATTTTGATGAAGTTTAACTACAGGTTTTCATTATTGAAGTGACTTCTATTTGTCGATTTTTATAAGTAGAAAAATTTTAAAGAATGAGATTAAAAAAGTCAAAATACCGATATGCACCAGATAAATAAGAAGCAGAGGTGTGATATGAGATACAAAGTAAATAAATTAGTATTTAACTAGGAATAAGCCACAATTAAAGGTTAAAATACGTTTATTGACGTTTCAATTTCTACTTCGGAAATCGTTCTCAAAATACAAACAGTAAATTTACTGTTGTATTCGTATTTTGAGAACGATTTCCGAAGTAGAAATTGAAACGTCAATAAACGTATTTTAACCTTTAATTGTGGCTTATTCCCAGTAAGATAGTATTAATTTAAAATGCCACAAGAAAATAGCTTCAGAACAATACAAAGTAAATATACATCTAATACAAAACAAAAACTAAAGATGAACAGACGATACCTACATAAAATAAAAATATTACAATAGTAACCTGAAATGTAGCAATAATATTTTATCCTAACCTTGCTAAAGAAAAATACAGCGAGCTAAGAACAGAGTACATAGTCAACGGTACAATGAAATAAGCAGTCATCTCCCCCATTAGTAAGTTTTTTGGCGACAAAGGAAATATCTTCTTCTTATTCATTAGGTCCATCCTCTGCTTCGAATTTAGTTATATAGCTAAGTCATAGCTGTTTAAATTTTAAAAAGCACAGCACAAAATAGTTTATTGGAGCTTCAACCAAATCACTCTTTTACAATTTGCAGCCTTGACATTTTTCTTTTTCTAACTTTAAGTCGAGGAGTATGACAAGGAGATAATATTTCACCAAAACAACACTCAACAGCAAGATATAGGTATCAATATTGTATGAGGTTTGTAGATGACATTGTATTAATAGCAAAAAACTTGCAAGAAACAATTTCTTTAATACACTTGCTTAAAACTCGTCTGAGAGAGCATGAAAAAAGATAAGCTTTAAGAAAACCAAACTTATGATAAATCTCGCAATGAGTGGATATATAACTATTGACAATAATACCATATATTAAACAAATAGACACTTACAAATATCTGCGACACAATACAATTAAAAAAGAATAGGCCTGACATGGTCTGCAATGGCAAACTAAGATCATATTCTATATTCTATACCATATTCTAAGAAGTTTAATTTCCCCCAAAAGTTTTTTAATCAATGTGTTTTACCCGTATAAACTTATGAAACAGAGACTTCAAAACCGACGCAAATATCCGCAATGCTGGACATGAGCTTTCGAGACCACAGTCAATCAACAACTCAGGCGAAGATCAGGCACTCAACACGTCATCGAAAGGAGGTCAAGCGGTTTAGTGCAGAGTATTAGGGGAGACTGAGGGAGGCCTATGTCCAGCATTGGAAGCGATCGGTTAAATGATGATAATTAATGTTCACGTTTTATTATTATTATTATATATATCGTTAGGTCGCAGAATAGAAGGCCGTTGCATACCATATAATATTAAACATTTAAGAGTTCCAATATATATCGTTTTTTACAAAAATTTTCATAATATATTATGTCCAAATTAGAAATAGATGTATTTAAATCGAGTCGAGATATCAGGAGTTAAATATAAAAGTTCATTCAAATTATAAACGTAAATTTTTATTCTTTCTTGCCTATTTATATGTTACCTCACTGTTATCAAAAAAAATTATTTAAAAAAGTTGTGCAGATTTTTATTACAAACATTTTAGTTATATATTTGGTATATACATTGATTTTGTCGAAAATTAAAGCACTTTTTGGGGGTTCGCCGTTGGCCTAATTAGAAAAAAGAGTCATAAGATTTACATATAGTAGGTCTGTTATGTACCAAATATTTTGTTTAAAGGAAATACAAACTTTTTTGTGACTATAAGGTTTCATATACCTCATATATACAGCTCTTAAGCAAAAATAAAAAAATTGCTTTTCTGGATCATTGCAGGGTTATAATCAGTATATGTTTTGGTTGAATTTATAAAAATCCCTTTATTGTATTTTAACTCTTTATGCATGCCGTTACTTGCTTTACTTTAACTTTTTATTTTTTTTTTAGACAAGATGTGTCAGAACCCCTCATTCTCTTCGTCCATTGCGAAGAGTGGACAAGTCAGCAGTAGGTTTTCCCAAATATAGTATAAATTCAAGAAGTTTTAAATCCCTTACAACTACATCAAATCAGAAGAATAGTTTTAGCTTACCAACAGGTACAGTCAATTCTAACTTTAGGCGACATTGTCCTCAAAAGATTAAGTTTGGACATCCAAGAAGCGCAAATACTGCAGAAAAGAATAAAAGAGATGATATCAGCTACGAACAATACCTATATCTCAAAAAGGAGAAGCAAGAAAAAATGTTCAATTCAAAGGTAAACAAGTTGTGTTCATCATCTCAATATAAGAACAAATTTCTCGAACGTTCAAGTAGTAAGCAAAAAAGGCGACATTTTACATCTGAAGCAAAACGAGTTCAATATCCCAAATTTCCGATCCAGCCTAAATTTCGTAAGTAATATATATATTTACTAAAATTAAGTTATAATAACATACCATATAGACCAAATATACCAAACTCATCTATTCTCTAAAAATAAACTGCGTAAAAATAAGTGTGCAAGATAATTTTCGGACAGTTTTCGGCCCAGCAGTAAAAAATGAGTTGTTTTATTTTTAAGATTCATTTATTTTTCAATTTAATCTCTGTATTCGACCGAACTCTCAGCAACATTCTCTATGATTTGAACTTGAAAGTCTGAACTCATCGACGTTAAGAAACTACGGGTAAATCGAATTTTTATTCGGAGAATCGAAGAGATTGAACTTTTTTCACGATGAAAAAGTATGAATAAAAAACACAATTTTATCGTAATAAAAGAAGCTATGTATTTAAAGAAGTGAAATAAACTCAAGGCTTGGGGGTCTAGCCTGCTTGTCTCCTTGCCAGTACTGGATCTCTCCCATCCGAAAAATAATTCTTCATCGTTACATATATATATATATATATATATATATATATATATATATACATATATATATATACATTTATATATATATATAATATATATATTTATATTATATATATATAATATATATATTTATATATATATATATATATATATATATATATATATATATATATATATATATATTTACATATATGTCTTTAAAACTTTCGAGCAACCCCGTATACTACACTTTTAGTTAAGTACAACCCGACGTTCATTTTACACCCCTCGAGAGGGGATGCTGGTAGTGGCGAGCAGAACACAGTCAACATTCCGAGACTCAACACAATATTACGCTAAGGACGCTATTTTTAAATTTATCGCTTACAAAATATTTTAAATGTGCTATTTCTTACTTCAATACAGTTTAGTTTAAGTGATTTTTTTTTGTATTATTACTCTACGTGAACTTCTAATAAGATTTAACTTACATCCTACACATTATGTTACGAAAGGTTTCCGCGGTTAGTACAATAAATTAAACCTAGAGATAAGATTAATACTGTTATAGTCTTCCGGGTTGAACCGCGTCGATTAATATTGCGCCGATCTTTCGACATCGTTTTTGATGTATTCTTCAGGGCTTCTGCGGTCTCAGTCTCCCGAGCCCCCAGACACTATTATACTGATTCTATATATAGAACTTGTGTAAATTATCTTTTTTCTGCATAAAAAATCTCACATCTAACCTAAAATTACCAATAAATTTTTAAGTTGTACATCAGCAATTGTATTGTCAACATAAACAACTATTACAAATATTTTTTTATCATTCATTTTGTCTTATGTCTTATGTCTTATTATTAAATTACGAATTTTCTAGCGCTCTACATGGCTAAGAGGACTTATTCTACAAATAAAAACTGCAAAGGCTGTGCTGGTGACGAAGATTGTTTCCAGTATTTTCAAGATAAACCAATTAAAAAACCTAGTTTACTAGTACCTAGAGAACAATTTGCCACACCAGTTACGCCAGATTTTAGATATCATAGAACTGGTTTACCTAAGAATGTTCAGTATGGGTTTAATATAAAACAAGATAATAATATTACAGTTGATCACAAAGAAACTGAAGGTTTACCCAAGAATGTTCAGTATGGGTTTAATATAAAACAAGATAATAATAATACAGCTGATCACAAAGAAACCGAAGGTAAGTACTGAGTAATTTTTGATAACTTTTTTTTGGTTTTTGATAACTTTGGTTTTCAAGAGTTTCAGGTCGATTAGGTTTAATTTCGATGTATATGCAATATTCTCAATAATAAAAATCCTCATGCAAAGGCAGTTACTAAATCAGGTATTTCTAAGGTATAAAAATGTAATCATAATAATAATTAAAAATATTACAAATCGATTTTTGGGCCACAAAGATTGTTACAAAAAATGTACAACTAAACATGCTAATAGATGCAAGGCTTAATTATAAAGTACATAAAAAATATAAATGGCATCCTTACAAAATAAAGTTGTGCAATTACTATTGAACATGATATTGGGTTTTTAAATTAAAAACAATTTAAATAAGATGCTCTAATGGAGATCCCCTAACTTCTTGGCAATAAGCCAGCCTTCGCTTGAATTCTAGAATAAAGCTCTAGAATAAGCTTCTAAAGATTTCATGTTAATTTTCTCTATGAAAATGGAATTTTTTTCAAAAATATAGGTTTCTATTTAAAAACCAAGGGAATTAGGTTATCACGACGACATGGTAATATCATTACAGTTGCTATTATCCAAAATAAAAGTAAAACTAAATTTAAAAATTGACCTGTCTGGACATATCATTCTAGTATGTCGCATTTCTCAATTACTAAAAAGGTTCTTTACCTTTATCTAATAAGGTTCTGAAACTTTTTTTTAAATTAAGTATTGCGTTTATATGAAATTTAGCTTCGTTGGATTGTAATGAAAATTATATTTTAAATAAAAATATGAGAAATATATAATAAAAACAATATATAATAGAATATTTAAGAACTGTGTGAAAAATTGTGTAAAAAAGAATATAACCGCCAAAGTTGTTGTTAGGGTTATGTCTTTCCAAAATTGACGGTTGACTTATTAAGCAGTGGTGCTGTAGGCATCAGCCATGCTTATTGCTAAAAAAAACAATACAAGCAGCGCAACAGTTGTCTATCCACCAGATAATTAAACACAACATAGAACGTAAAGCCCTTAAAAGTTCCGAACTATATCACACTCCCATCAGTTTTAAAATTAGACATAATTGGTGTAGTTTAAAAGTCCGTCAAGTACTACCAATATATAAAAAAAAGAATATAGGGTACTGTGAAAAAATCAACTGGATAAAAGCACTACGTCAAAGACAAACATTGGTAAAGGAGAACTCAAAGCTATCAAATCTGTAAAATAAGATGGATCCATAATATTATTACTAGCTGACAAAGGCAATGCAACTATAATAGTAGACAAAAGTAAATATAAGTAAAAACTCAAGAACTGGTCCCAAATGGATCTTTCACAAAACTAACAAGGGATAAAACCAAGTTACTAAAAAACAGAATATATCAAACACTGCACCAATTTAAGGAATATCTGACAAGCTACCACATATGAATATTAACAACACACTATAGTAGGACACCACATCTATATTGTTCTTCTTCTTCTTTAGGTACCATCTCCTCTAAGGAGGTTGGTAATCATCACAGCTATTTTCACTTTTGAGATTGCAGCTCTGAACCAGTCGATGGAACTGTAATTATACCACTTTTTCAGATTGTTGAGCCAGGAGAGGCGTCTTCTTTCAATACTTCGTTTTCCCTGTATTTTTCTCTGCATTATGGTTTGTAGCAACACATATTTATTCCCTCTCATAACGTGGTCGAGATATTGTAACCTTCTTGTCTTAATCGTATTCATGATTTCCATTTCCTTTTTAATCTTTCTGAGGTCCTCAACATTTGTTATTCGGTCTACCCAACTTATTTTTAATATTCTTCGGTAGGTCCACATTTCGAATGCTTCAAGTCGATCGCTAACCTCTTTCTTTAAGGTCCAGGCCTCCATCCCATACAGCAGCACCGAAAACACATATGAACGTAATATTCTTATTATGAATAGCAAACTAAGGTTTCTACTGCATAATACTTTTCTCATCTTATTAAATGTTTCTCTAGCTTGTCCAATTCTCATTTTTATTTCTTCTGTATACTCGTTATATTCAATAATAATTATTGTACCAAGATATCTGTATTTTTTACTTTTTCTATTGGAACCCCTCTTATGTTTAAAATGCCTTGTTGTTGTGTTTTGGAAATTGTCATAAATTTTGTTTTATTAGCATTAATCGTTAGTCGCTTTCCTCACTAACATTTACTACATTATCTAAAAGTTTCTGTAGATCTTGTAGATTCTCTGCAATTAGTAAAGTATCATCAGTATATTTGATATTGTTGATGGGTCTGCCTTTGACTTTTATTCCAATTGTTACATTTTCGAGTGATTTTTTAATTATTGAGTGATCTTTCGAATATAGATTGAACAATACGGGGGAGAGTAAGCAACCTTGCCTTACGCCTCTTTTTATTTCTACTTCTTCCCAAAGTTCTTTGCCTACTCGGACTTTTGCTATTTGATTAAAGTAGAGATGAGTTATTATTTTTAAGTATTTTTTGTCTATGTGTTTATCTTTAAGTATCTGTATAATACGGTTGTGTCGGACCTTATCGAACTCCTTATTGTAATCAATAAAACAAACATAGAGTGATTGGTGTACATCTATACATCTTTGCATGAGGAGGTTAAATCCTAATAATGCCTCTCGTGCACCCATGGCATTCCTAAATCCAAATTGGGTTTTAGTGATGCCTTGTTCCACTTTTCTGAAAATTCTTAAATGGATAATTTTTAAGAATATTTTATTATTTATGATATTAATTTAATTATTTCAGTTGGAATTGTGTCAGGCCCCGCAGTTTTATTAGATTTTGCCAGATTTATTGGATGTATTATTTCAACCTTAGTTATATTTGGACCTATATCATGTTTCTCGCAATTGTTCATGCTATCTTGTTGTGTCCTGTCGTCCTCAAACAATTCTTGGACGTATTCTTTCCATCTGTTTAGTTTGGCTTAGATATCAGATATTATTTTACCATTCGTATCAACCAGGGTGTTACTATTGTTGGACCGTCTTATATCTTATCTATACGGAATTACAAAACTTTTCCTATAAGGAAAATTTACCCCTCAGACCAATTTGCAGTAGCATGGATTCTCCTTGCAGTAGGCTGTCTAAGTTTCTCCTATATAATAGAACCTCTAGCAAACAATACAACAATATACATTAAAAACACAACAATTTTTAGTAAAAAATAGCAGAATTAGATTACAATTACAACAATATGCTAGTTGTTTCGATATCACCAGCCTTTGCTCCAATATGCCGCTGACAAACAATAACAAACGATAACAAAAATGAAAGTAAAAATAACTGAAAAAATTGTGCACAACTAAGACAAACAATCCACACTATGGTGGAGATATGTAGATGATGTGTTCTGTATTAAGACTCATAAACCAGAAGCATTTCATACATCGCTGTTGGACATCAACAATAAAGAATTTGCTCACAAATGCTTTCACACAAAACGACTACCCATTGTCATTATTAAACAATGAATTCCACAAGATAGAAGAAAGAAAACAACAAAATATCACAAGCAATTGAGAAACTCACTAGAAGGGACTCAAAGATAACAACAATACCAAATGTACAGTCCTTATCAGAAAAATTAAAAAGAACTAGAAACAAGCACAATATCGCAATAATATTTAAAACAACCAATACCTTTAAGTATATCCTGTCCAAAACAAACCTTACAATATAAAAGAGAAATAAAAAAACTGCGTCTATAAAATATCCCATGAATACAAAGATTTTTATGAGGAAAAAAACGCCCATGACGACTAAGTTTCAGAATAAACGAGCATAAAACATACGTCAAAAACAGGATCTTCAACAGATCACAGGTATGTAAACATACCTGGGATAATAAACACAGAGTACAATGGCCAGAAAGATAAATAATAATGAAAGAAACAGACATAAAAAAGAGAAAAGTCAAAGAAGCAGCCCTCATCCTACCCAATGAAGAAAAATGTGTAGCACATATATCAGCAGAATGCAGAAGGCTTTAATTGCCAATACTAAAATAAAAAGTGTATATGAAGACCTATCATCAGCTACATTCATACACAATACAAACTGCAACACACAATACACCAACACACACCTACAAACGTATAAAATAGGTGTAAATAATACAGCACAATAATCAGAATTTGATGACCCCTAGGACACACAATCTTCTCCAGATTTTTTCAACCAATGACATGGCTGTTGCTTACAACACCGCGGCTAAGTAACCAACCCCAATTTTGAAATAGACGGTTATATATTTTTTTACGGAATTTGTCACAAAATTCTTAGTCGACTTCCTGAGTGTAAATCGAAACATCAGATTTTTAAAAATATCATTTTTATTACAATTCATTTTGGCTTAATTCCTTATAAACAGAATATTTAAACAACAACTTAATAACCGTACATAAAGTTATGCTTGATCTTGCTCAGTGGTCAAAAAATAAAAATTGTTGTTCGTTTATTGTTGGTGATTGATGTATTCATTGATATTACAGATATTATAACTACATAATATATATAATCCTTCTTATTCATTCTTTTCGAATTTAGATTTTTAGAGATACAATATATTTTACTTAATAAAATGTCAGGGACAAACAGCTTTTGTACAAGTAAAAGCTTTTAATACTCATTATTAGCATAAAATTAAATACTGCAGAAACATACAAAATATTATAAAAAATGCTCGAACAAATGATAAAGTTAGAGTTTATCACATGATTACTAACTGATACGTTAATAAAAGTAATAAAGGAAATAGCACTCACCAAATCAAAGGTGAAATCTACATATCCCAAGAAACTATAATATATAATATATAATATATAATATATAATATATAATATATAATATATAATATATAATATATAATATATAATATATAATATATAATATATAATATATAATATATAATATATAATATATAATATATAATATATAATATATAATATATAATATATAATATATAATATATAATATATAATAAAATAAAAGAGAGTTTTTCCTAGAACAAAAAAAGGCAAACTACAGAATATAAAGAAATAAACACAAACAAAAAAATACTAAAGAAACAAAAAATCGAAAAAAGAAAAAATGGAGAAAGCAATCTATGAAATAATAAAATGAAATTCTAAAAACCACACTTGGGAAAGACATAGATAAATAATATAAACAACAAATTTGAGATAGAAATACACAACATAAAAGATATTATATAAATAACACAAGAATATTACTCGAATCTCTATTATGTCAAACCAAAGCCATTGGAAGAAATCCTCAGATAATTAAAAATACAAATAAAAAATGTAAACTAACATCTGCAAACGGAAACCTGTAAGCTTACAATTAAAAAAGCGTTGAAAGAAATAAAGAATAATAAAGCACCTGGAAAAGATATAACAGAAGGAAGAGATGGAAGAGATAGAAGAAATAGAAGAAATGGAAGAGATTGAAAAGATGGAAGAGATAAAAAAAGAGATAAAAGAGATGGAATAGATGCAAGAGATGGAAGAGATGCAAGGCATGGAAGAGATGAAAGAAGTGAAAGAGATGGAAGAGATGGAAGTGATGGCAGATATGAAAGAGATGGAAGAGATAGAAGAGATGGAATAGATGGAAGAAATAGAAGAGATGAAAGAGATTTAAGAGATGGAAGAGATGGAACTGCAAAAAATTATTGAAAAGTTGGGTAACGAATTAAGCGAAATATGATTAAAGATGATCTAAAAGTATGACGAACCAAAACGGAGGCCTCAATATAACAGAAAACTAAACAAACCGAAAAGAAGTAGATGAATATTAATACTTGGTGCATACCATAAAATGAAACAACAAAAATCGGAACAAGGAAATTAGATTGACTTGGGCAGCATTTGGTAAACTTTCTTATATATTGAAGAATAAAAATACCCTTGATATCTAAAAACGAAGGCTTTCGATCAGTGTGTACTACCTGTTCTTAGACATAACTATTAAACTTGATCATTCATTAAAATGAATAGTTAAGCTGTCAAATACGAAAAAAAAACAGCTGGATTTGAAGTAGAATCAAATACTTCTCGATTCAAACATTAAAACTTAATTTAAAACTTATTAAAAAAATTAAAAAACATTATCACTGGAGACCTTGTACCTATAAACGTTAAAGAGGAAGACCATAACTTAGATGGTCAGATAACATAAAACTACATGCTGGAACGAAATAGATGCAAATTGCGCAAAATAAAGAATTCTGAAACAATGAGTGGGAGATCTTTGTCCAAAGATTATGTTTTTGGTTGATTAGATAGATATAAGACATATTCAAGTATTACCATACTAACACAAAATAGTTTTACTATTAATCAGGTTATTTGTAATATATGAGAACATAAAAGAAATACACGGAACTTATATTAAAATTAAAACAAAATATATAAAAAAAAATGATTTATAAAAGGTATATTAATAAAAAAAATCTACATCGCAGAACGTTTTCGGAATAACCATTCCATCATCAGTGCTATCATAGAATAACGATTACGACTTAATAAAGCAAAATAAATAAAGCAAACGTAAAAGTTAAAATTTTGGTCAAGATATAATTTAACGTAGTATATCTTCTTCTTCTTCAGCTTTCATTTATCCATTGTTGGACATAGGCCTCCTCCAATTGCTTCCACGCTTCCCTATCTTTTGCAATTCTCATCCACTGCTTGCCAGCTATAACTGTTATATCCTCTATCCATCTCTTTTTGGGTCTTCTCTTTCGTCGTCCACGACGAAAAAAAAGATATTGTATAAATTGTAATCAAATATTACTGCTTCAATATTTTATAAAAGTTTAAGTTGAAGCTCAACAAAAATAATGAATGTTAAAGAACATGCATCACAACAATAAACAAATTTACTTATTTGCTTTACTTGTAGCTCTACATTTAATAAATGACATTAATTATCTATATAAAACGCTATGATGACAAGTCATACCGTTTGTCCAGTAACGGTATTACTACCACCATTTGACATTTGAATTAATAATTAAATTTTAAATAATAATTAACTTAAATTATATTTTTAGGTAGAATTTAATAAAAATAATTTAAATATTTATGTTAATTTGGATTTAAAATCCTTACGCCATCTGATCAAAGAAATCTAAACTACTGACATTTCAACCTATGAGTCAATCAATTTTTGTTTTTGAATCTGAACAGATAAACTGACAGACAAACTAAATTAAAATTATCTGACATATAAAACATTTATTTGCCAAATAAAATGCTGAATAAAAAGTTATTTTGAAAATAAATTGTGTTCATTGTAGTTCGTCATTATGTTGTAGGTTACCGTGAAATTAAAAATATATCTTAAATATTGTTGTTTAGTGTAGGTTAGAGACATGGACATTAAAAGATTTAATGAAATCGAAGAGTATGATTAGTACGATGTTTAATGTTAATAAACTTAGTGCGAGAATATAATACTTGATGCAGAACTGAACTTTTTAATTTTTGTAATGATAAAGACTTTTTTAAAAGGTTAATATTAAGTAAACCGACAGTTTCTGAGAAATGTTTCTGAAATCTATATTCTGAGAAAATATTGTAAATAGTAATAATTATAAAAGTAGGTGTATACATATTTTCATTTACTTAGTTTAGTGATGTGACAGTTTTTCAGGCGGAAATACCGGTAAACCATCACTGAGTGAAAAAAAAAAAATAGAAAGGCAGGAAAGAACGTTCCGTTCAGTTGCCATCATCACAGATAGTCAGGCAGCGCCTAAGGCACTCAATTCTGTAGAGGTCAATCCTAAGTCAGTTTGGGTTTGTGTGTGTGCCCTAAATAAACTAGGAGACCGTAGCAAGGTTACAACAGCCTGGGTACCAGGGTACGAGGGTCACAAGGGCCATGAAAAAGCAGATGAAATGACCAAACAAAGCTTATCAATGCCATTCATTGGAGCGGAACTCTTCTGCGGATTTGCAAAGACAGTAACAAGAACGACTACAAGGAAGTTGGTAGCTCACAAATCTCTGGAATAGTGGAGGAATTCACCAGGACAAAAACAGGCTAAACAGTTCATTACAGAACATTCGCCAAAATTTACGGCACACCTAATAAGCAAAGACAGGAAAACAGTCAAAGCCATCGTAGGTCTTCTAACAGGGCACTGTAAGCTTAATAGGCACTTGAAGCTGATGGGATTATCAGATATGGGCATATTCTGTCACCTCGAAGAAAAAACAGCAGAGCTCATTCTATGTCAGTGTGACAATCTAGCAAATGTGCGGTTCTTTGCATTAGGAGAAGAACATTTACCGGTAAATAGCTACGTGAAAGATACAGTCTCGAAGCTATTAGACTTTTTAAAAGGGTCAGGCTAGAGAATGTTATCTAGGACTAGAGGACCACAATAGATCTGAAAAGGTCGCAGTGAAATACGCCAAAAGGTCACCCCTCTAAATCTATCTAATTAGTTTTGAGGATTCAATATTTTCATAATCTTGATAAATAAAAAATGAATTAATTTACCTTTTTCCAAGAGATATTGATGCTATTAATTCAATAATAGTAGCATCGGATTTCAAAATGAAAAATATGCACATTGTACCTAGGTTGTCAGATTCTTTTGATAATTATAAAATACATTCAAGTATATAAAAAAAGACTCAACGTATACAAAATATCCAGAGTGTACTAGAAAATTTTCAAACACTCAATAAATCTTCAATATAATATATGAAATATTGAGTTTAAATTCTGACAATTTTGTGATACTTCTTGGATATATTTGTCTATGTACCTACCAGGTAGAAATAAATAATTCTGTATTCTTCATAAGAAATTTAAATAGAGATAATAGAAATAAGTTCTTGCAAGGAGATTCTGATTATATAGCTAAGCCACGTAGTGGTAAGTAGTTTTTAAGAAGTTCAGTAAACAATGCAATTTCTATAATGAATTTCATTAAAACCAGATGTGCAACATAACTTTTTATGTACGGAAGAGAAGGTTTAGGTAATATTTCATCCAGTTTAAGTGGCTGTAAGGTTGAAAAGATTCAATCGTAATCTACAGCAACAGTCTACGGATATAACCTAGCGAGAGATCAAAATTAAGACAAGTTTGAAGATACATTGCTAAATGAAGACATTACTGAACTTCCTGAAGTTAAAGATGTTTGAGCTAACATTTATAATATTTTAATGTTTTAACCTTACTTTAAAATTTAATTTTTAATTCTTTTGAACATTTTGTTGATCCTAAAAAATTGGCTGCGAATTTGGTAATAGGTAAAAAATATAACACAAAACTCGAGCTTTCCCAACAAATAAATTGTCAAACTAGAATAACACTGGTTTTATACGTAGGTCGATTTCATAAGACGACTTTACACAAAAAGTTCAGAGACTCTCCAAAAGGGACTTATTTGTTATGACATTTGTACAACAGACTAAAATATTATTGTTGTCGTCCTAACCTTAAATAGGAAAAATACAGAAAAAATTAACTGGGTTGATTGTAGATGCAATTGATTGGATCCCCGTTGCATGGTGACGGGCAAAATCACTAATTTTATAATAATTATTTATAATTTCTACCGCTTACGTTATTTTTTATTTTTAGAAATAGAAAGTCAAAATGAATCGAATATTGCTGAAGTTGCTGCTGTCAAGGCATCTAGTACCGAACCTATACCTAAAAGTAAGCGTTTATGTTTTGATTTTTTATTAAATAACATATCAAGCACAAGCATATATCATAGGTCATACCCAGTTTTTTTGTAAATATTTTCCAGTAATCTATAGTATTTTGTTTGTTTTTTACTTTACTAAAAGAATTTTAATTATTGTATTAAAACATTAATGGTATCTAATATTTTTTAATTTTTTTCAAAGTTTACGGCTCTATATTTATTTCTTTAGTATGTTTTATATAATCATGGTTTTGTTAGTCGACAAATAAAGCTGTACTACTACTGCATTTTACTAGTATTTTTTTGTGCTTGTTAAGTTTTCTCCTCCAGGTGGTTTTTTCGTTGCCTCTTATTTTAAGTGTTTTTCTCTTTTTCTCCTTAACCTTAATATAAAAATGTAAACCAACAAAGAAAGAAAACCGTAAAATTTTATAAAAAGAAATATGAGAAGTTGCTGTATTATAATGTTATCTATATAGTTTATCATATTTTAGGTCAACTACCAACGGTTGAAGTATGGACAACGCAAAGACCAGATTCTATATTTGAAGGTAAAACTCCAGGAAAAAGATCAGGTGAGATAGTTAATATTCAAAATTATGGACGTATTTTCACGTGATTTTACGTCCCTTCCTATACCATCCAGATAAATATCATCTTCCTATATCATCCAGAACTATCTCATGGGTAATATCAAAAAAAAATTATCCACATTTAAATGCCAAATTAGAACTAATATGGTTTTCAAGTATTTTTTTACTGATCGTTAAACCAAGAACTGTCAGATTTAATGAACTCGTAATGTTTACTTCCTGTTTTTATTATTCATGTGCTTTCTAAGAAGTTTGGAAATTATCACAGAAATACGCTACTTGAATATTACTGCTCTGAATAGTTTAATGGACACCACACAAGCTCTACACACACTCTAACTATTTAACCACGAGATACGTCTTCTCTAACGGTTTCTCGTTCTCTGTATTTTTCTCCGTATTATTACTTGAAGCAGATTATAACGTTCACCTTTCATAATATGCTCTAAATATTGTAATTTGTCTAATTTAAACGGTATTCAGAACATCTTCTTTTTTTCTTCTCAAGACCGCGACATTTCTGACACGATCCGCCCAACTTATTCTTCGTATTCTTCTGTAGGCCCATAATTCGAATTCTTTCCAGTTTTTCTTATAATACATTTCTTTACGTTTTCATACTATAATAAAAAACAAAAAAAATATAGCATCTTTATAATCTTTTGTTTAAGAGCATTGTGATGCATATGCTATAGGGACTTTCTTCCTTTTGTTAAATGCATTTTTTTCTTATCCTATTCTTGACCTAACTAATTCTTTTGTGTAGTCATTTTTTTTTTCTTAGTTCAAATTAGATAGATAGATATTTATATCGTTGGACTTTTTTATTTTCTTATCATGTATTCTTAGACTCACTTAAGATTATTGTCATTAGTGATTACCATAAATTATGCCTTTTCTATTTTTAAAGAAAATCCTTTATCTCCACTGACTTTTACCTCTATCGATCATTTTTTGCAGATCTTCTAAACTTTCAGCTAATAGGACTGTATCATCTACAAAACGTCTGTTGGTAATAGGCCGTCAATTTACTTTTTTGCCTGCTGTTGATTACTGAGTTAATTTCTTAGGTATTTCTTCTGAATACAAATTGAATATGATAGGCAACAGCACATATCCTTGCATGATATCCCTTTTAATTTTTTTCTTAGTTTTTTTTTTGTAGTTAAGCTTTCTGATTGTACTGAAGTTTATTAATAATTCGGATATCCTTCGTGTCCAAATTTTACTTTTCAAGTAATTGGATGAGTTAGATGTATCTAAATTTATCAAGTGCTTTGCTGTAATATAAGGACTATACTGGTTGAATAACATCCATGTATCTTTGTATGGTTATGTTTATGACTAATGGCGATTCTTTTCTCTTCGCATTTCTAAATCCAAATTGGGTTTTGCTAATACCTTTCTCAAATATTTTATAATATTTTTTTATGTATGAAGTTCATGCATAATTTCAGAGTACGACTCATATAAAGAAAGGTAGCAGATACTTTCTTGGCTCCGCAATCTTCGTCAAAGTACTAGCTTATCAGCATATGAATTTTTACATACCGCGCATGGTAAAAGTATAGAAGCTTTCTACGCCTAATTTGGGCACGGTACTCAAAGAAGAATATTACTCATTAAACTGATTTTTCGATGATCTTGACATTTCTTTGCATTTGAGTTCTTTACAAATGCTATAAAAGTATATATCAGCCAGTTTTTAGAAGTAATTCCTGTATTGTATATTGTATATTATTGTATATTATATAAATTAATTAAGACCTCAATGATTTCTTTTTCTATTAGTTTTATTATATCTACTGGTATTTGATCCGGACCTGCTGATTTGGTATTTTTTGTTAGTTTTATAGTGAATTTTTTACCGGAAAATGAATTTTAGTTACCTTTATATACATCCAAATAATAATTATTTACAAAGATATATCGCATCTGTTAAATTTTACTAATATAAAAATAATTTCTAGGAATTATAAATAACCTGGAAGTTGAGATAAGCAAAAAGATGGAAATTCTCTCTTTAAAGAAATCTGAGAAAGGAAATCAATTGTCTACTACTTCAAAACCAAAAAAAGGTCCAATTATAATTCAAGTAGTCAAAAAACAGACAGCTTTAAAAGAAACCTTAAATACAAAATCTGCTAACACACTAAATATGGTATCAACAAGTTATCAAAGCACTCCCAATAAAAAATCCTTAAAAGGCCAACGAAAGTCAAAAAAGTCGAAGAAACGTAAGTATTTAAAACTTTTTAATTGATCGAATTTAATGAAACTAGGTACTGGAACAAATGTCAAAGTTTTATTTCTAATTTTACAGTTATAAAATTGTTCATTATAAAACACTGTCTATGAAATAATTAAGTACAATATTTTTTGAAGTGTTATAATAAATCCAGTGTTTTCTTAAATAATAAAATTATTAGTTAGGGGCATTCAAGTATTACCTAACGCAATTTTTGAACATTTTTGACCCCCCTTCCCCATATGTATTACACCGTAGCTTTTTTCTGTATACCCCTCCCTATACCTAAACGCTACGTAACACCCAAGTGACCATTTAACCTAAAAGTAACAATTTTGTTGCGAAAAGTACTGGAAAATCGGTAGAATAATTTTGTTATTACTTTATTCGCATTTGCGGCAATAATGAATAAAACAAGAGATTTCTAACTTACAATAATAAACTTTTACTGCTAATCTTACAATTTTTTACGATTTTCTTACTTGACCCTATGGTTACATATTTCTTATGCATTCTTCTGTTTTAACTTTTTTTAAATAATGAACTCATACAGTAATATATTTTTTTAACAAATGTTTAACTGAAACTGAGTATATATTGTTTCATTGGGAGTAAAAATGATCGACATTAGCCGAGACACGAAAAGTCATTGTTACCCCGAATAGAACATACATTTTTTTTTAAAACGCAAATAATTTATATGTTATCACAGAATACATCATCCAACAATAAGCGAAACGAAGGAAATTTTCGCAATCCAAATTTCTGTGAGATCTGCCATGTTGTTAATAGTTTGTCTGCCAATCTATAAAAACTGAAAATTGTTTACGTATTGAGAAGTGTTGTTTGGTGGGTTTTGTGTAATAGTAAAACAACAATAATACTATTATACATTAGGTTAAGTTTTGTGAACGTTTGTGCTTATGGTCGCTTAAAAGTACGAGTATTATGTAGAATTCCGAAGATCCCACGGCATCGCGTATTCCTCCACATATTTTATGTACTGCAAAGACTGTAACCTATGGATTGTTGCTTATCAAGTCCACTACGGTTTAAGAAAGTTTTGAGCTTTTAATTGTTACACTTTTGTACCTGTGCTTCACTTTTATATCTAGGTGTAAAAGTAATATTTTTATATTGTCAATCACGTCACAAAAATTTATACTTTTGTGACATTGGAAAAAAAATATTTTATTTAGAATAAAATCGTATTCATAAGAAAAATTAAAAATAAAATCACGAAGTAGGTATCTTCTTCTTTCGGTGCAATATTAGGTACCCCTAATGTTAACAATTACATTGGCGAATTGTTCATGGTTTTCAGCTAATCGAAATAATTGTTTGACAGTGCGTTTTTCTACCTTATCGCGAATGTTCTTAAGCCATGAAATCTTCCTTTCAAGTCCCCTGTGGCCCTTGATTTCACCTTTCTCGATCAGCTGAAAGAATATGAACCGGTCTTCTCGCAGAACATGCGCTAGGTTTAATATTTGTCTTATTTGTTTTATAATTATAATATTTTTTAATAACTCACGAGCTGCATTTGTTATATTGACGAACTTTCTTGTGTTGCAAATTGAACATGCCATGTTTCTTTTGCAAATTGAACGTGCTCAAGAAATCCGGAAAGATAGATTTCAATGAACTCCTCGAGCAGCGACAGCAGTATTCGTCTGCACATTTAATCACTTATAAGAAATATTTAGATTTACGGAAGTAAGTGGTATACCACACTAGATAAGTGGGATTCTAAAAACTATCTTTAAGCTTTCAATTTTGACATTTTTTTCATAACTTTTGAGGACCCTATATATGTATATATATATATATATATATATATATATATATATATATATATATATATATATATATATATAGGGTAAGTCCGGGAGAGATGGACCACCGGGAGAGATAGACCAATCCATTATTTCCGAATTGTGACGCTCGAACGCTACCATCGTTTATTATGAGTATGCTTAAGGCTGTTTTAGCAGTTCAAGCACACTGCGATTTGAAATGGGCGTATCACTTACTTTTCTACACTGCTTACGCGAGACTATCTTTACTCAGTGGCGCCGATCCACCGGTAGTTTAATGACAACAAATGTATTACTCTCCATTCAAATTAGTTTTAACACGAACTAACTGACCGTACGTTCATGAAATTTGACGTCAGGAAGGCGATAGTGGTGAAACTAAACGACAATGATGAGTAACACATTTCACTATTAGATTTTAGTATTTTTTAGCAATTTTCTTTAAAGTTGGAACACATTTTTCTGGATGATTACTGGACACAGAAAAGTGAAAAAAAAATCAACGATTACAGAAAAAAAAAGTTCAAGTGATGGGCGTAAAAAGTTTGGTTATAATAGAACGTTAAACAGTATAATCCAATTTTTCAACAGAAGTTTCAAAGAAATAAAAAAAGTAAAACAGTCATTTTAAAAGCAACATAATTTAGAATATTGTGTCCAAATTTCGAGACATTTTGTCGGTAAATAACAGTCCATAGGTTTTGGTGCACCGATAAAACAGCCTTAACTTACAGTGAAGACATGCTGTTAGTTGTGTGGTGTTGTTGTTAATATTTGTAGAGAAAATCGTCGTTGTCTGTATTGGTAAGTCCAAAAGCTTTTTAACGTAGTAACAGTTTAAGTTTTTAGTTTAAGTTCACGTGATATCGACGTAGGATTCTTGTAGCGATATCAATAAACATGTAGGTAGTAACCTAACCTAAAAGGCCGCCATGTGTACGTTAAAAATTCGAAATATGAGGTGGTCCATCTCACCCGGACTTTTGGGAGAGATGGACCAGTACGTTTTGGTAGAGATAGGCCACGTATTTCAATACGGGAGAGATGGACCAGTACCAACGTTTTTAAATGTTACTTTTATTAAGACGACCTATCGTGTAATTACTAAGTAGCTGGTATTTTTCTGTTTCAGAAAAATGCCAACTAACTACGTAATAAAGGATACTTACGTAGTTAGTTGACATTTAAAGGATATTGCAATAGAATGCAAGCGGTTAATGCGGTGGAAAATAAAGAAATGGGTGTCAATGCTGCTGATAAAGCTTATCAAATTCCTAAGACCACTCTTAAAAGTAGGATTAAAAAAAACGTTTACGAAGAACAGTTTAGGGTTTTCCTCCATTTTAGGAAGAGTAAATGAACAGAAGATTGTAGGCCACATATAATAGTTATAAGCTCATGGGTTTACTCATTGCGGGGATTTAGTAAGAAGCATGGCGTTTGAACTTGCTGAAGAGCTAAAACTACCTCACAAATTTAACAAGAAACTAGAAAAGCTGGTTATGATTTGCTTAACTCTTTTCTTTTAGAAATCTTACTCTTACTATTGGAAAATCAGGTGTATCTGTATCCCGAGCTAAGGGAATAAACACGAGGTGTGTGGAGGAGTACTTTAAGTTACTCGAAAGTGTTATTTTGAAAAATTTGGTTGAAAAGCCTGGGCACATTTTTAACATGAACGAAACCGGGCTTTAACTGAATAACAAGCCAAAAAATGTTGTTGCCATTAAAGGTTTCCATTAAAGGTATTCCACCCCATATTTTGCACTGGCTACAACCTTTGGACCGATTCTTTTTTAAAATCACTTATGTGCTACTTTTATAGTGCTTATAACTATTTCATTACAAACAATCTATCCAGAAAGATCAATCGTCTGCAGTTTGGAAAATTTCTCAACTCTGCATGGACCAAAGCTTCAAGTGTACAAAACGGTGTGAGTGGATTTCAAGCTTGTGGCATAGTCCCTCTAGGTATATCTGTAATATTAGCATACGCCTACCTAGAGCCTGATTCTTCCGGTGCAGTGACCATTGTCCAAGTATTGGCACGCACTCTCGCTAGTGCACCAACCGGCGAGGTTGATCCTGTTACCTCCAATGCACAACTTATCGGCCAACACTTAAACTAGTGTGACAACAAGTGACACTGTTGATTCTTTTCTCTCCTGTGCAGTACCAAGAACTCAATTTGATCTTGCTAGTATCCCCTGTACTTCTAGTCGCCTTACAGCATCAAAAATGACTCGTAAACTTCTAGATCATTAATTCTCTCATGCAGACCTAACCCATTATTTCTCTCATGCAGAAAAAATGTTTTAAAAGTATTAAATTCAGCTCAGAACGTTGCTGTTGTAAAAACAAAGGCAGTTGAGCAAGAAATGAAAGATAAACAAAAAAAGAAAAAGAAACAAGATCAACTGGAAAAAAAAATTAATCAAAAAAGAAGTTTTTCAAGCCAAAAAAGGAACCATCTGGCAAAGCGACACAGTTTAAAAGTTCAGACTAAGAAAGCTATGATTCTGAATGTGTGTGGGATGTGTAGAGGCTTACAATTAAACTACAAAAAAAGAAGACTGGGTGAAGTGTATATAGTGTTCTCGGTGGTTTCATGAAGGTTGCTCTATATTTGAAGTAAAATGTAACTTTTGCGGTACCAGAGAAATAATGTCACAAAAAGGGAAGTTTCCATTTATTAATAATTAATAAAGGGAAACTATTAATAGGAAGATTGTGGTCAAGAAAGCAAAAGAATAGACTGGTTTGTTTTTTTATTTGGTTATTGTAACATTTACTATTATGTAAAATATACATATTTTTTACTTTATACTTGGTTTGCAGTCATTGATCCAACTTTTTACCTCTAGTCTATCTTTCCCAAGCTATTGGTCCATCTCACCCAGACACGTCCGGGTGAGATGATTATGCAAAGTTTTGGAAAAAATGGAATGTAGTCTTTATTAATAATATTTAATTAGAAAGTAAACTCTTAAGGATACAAAACTAAATGTTTTACCAAACGTTTAAATAATAAAATTTTTGTGAGCGTCCACAGAAATGTGATCCAACTCTCCCGGACTTACCCTATATATATATATATATATATATATATATATATATATATATATATATATATATATAAACAAATGGAACAAAATAACATTGTACAGTACAA